GAAGCTGAAGAAACAGTGGACCACTTGGTAAGCTGTTGCAAGAAGATTGCACAGACTGATTACAAGCAGCGGCATGACAAAGTAGCAACAATGGTGCATTGGAAGATCTGCAAAAAATATCATTTGCCTGTAAGCAAAAACTGGTGGGATCATAAAATAGAGAAAGTCATAGAAAATGATAAAATTAAACTGCTCTGGGACTTCAGAATTCAAACAGACAAGCACCTGCAACATAACACCCCAGACTTAACAATTGTCGATAAGAAAGACAAAAAAGTCTGGATAGTGGACGTGGCAGTGCCTGGTGATAGCAGAATAGAAGAGAAAGAACTGGAGAAGATAACAAAATACAAAGACCTACAAATAGAAATAGAAAGACTGTGGCAAAAGCAAGCAAGGGTAGTACCAATAGTCATAGGCTCCTTGGGTGCAATCCCAAAACAACTGGAGCACCACTTGAACACCATTGGCATTGACAAATTTGCTATTAGTCAATTGCAAAAGGCGGCCTTATTAGGAACTGCTTCCATCCTGCGACGATACCTGTAATACCATCAAACATCCACATCTGCCTATCCCAGGTCCTGGGTAAGGACTCGATAGGTAGACAAAATACCAAATCCAGTCTGAACATCTGGCTGACTGTGCGATGATTGAGAATAATAATAATAATAATAATAGTAGTAGTAGTAGTAGTAGTAGTAGTAGTAGTAGTAGTAGTATAATAATGGATCATCGCACATTATTATTATTATTAATCATCACACAGTCAGCCAGATGTTCAGACTGGAATTTGGCATTTTGTCTACCTATCGAGTCCTTACCCAGGACCTGGGATAGGCAGATGTGGATGTTTGATGGTGTTACAGATATCATGGCAGGATGGAAGCAGTTCCTAGTAAGGCCGCCTTTTGCAATTGACTAATAGTGAATTTGTCAATGACAATGGTGTTCAAGTGGTGCTCCAGCTGTTTGGGGATTGCACCCAAGGAGCCTATTACTATTGGTACTACCCTTGCTTGCCTTTGCCACAGTCTTTCTATTTCTATTTGTAGGTCTTTGTATTTTGTTATCTTCTCCAGTTCTTTCTCCTCTATTCTGCTGTCTCCAGGCACTGCCACATCCACTATCCAGACTTTTTTGTCTTTCTTATCGACAATTGTTAAGTCTGGGGTATTATGTTGCAGGTGCTTGTCTGTTTGAATTCTGAAGTCCCAGAGCAGTTTAATTTTATCATTTTCTATTACTTTCTCTATTTTATGATCCCACCAGTTTTTGCTTACAGGCAAATGATATTTTTTGCAGATCTTCCAATGCACCATTGTTGCTACTTTGTCATGCCACTGCTTGTAGTCAGTCTGTGCAATTTTCTTGCAACAGCTTACCAGGTGGTCCACTGTTTCTTCAGCTTCTTTGCATAGGCAGCACTTACTGTCTGTTGCTGTCTTCTCAATTTTGACTTTATATGCATTTGTCCTTAAGGCTTGGTCTTCTGCAGACAGAATTAGTCCCTCGGTCTCTTTCTTCAATTTTCCTGCTCTTAGCCATTGCCAGGTCTTGTTAATATCTGCTTTCCCAGCTATTTTTTTAATGTATTGGCCATGTAGTGCTTTGTCTTCCCATGTCTCTATTCTGTTTTCATTTGGTCTTTCTTGTAGGCCAGTTTGGTCTCTCCAGTAGTCAGTAAGCCTTCCAGATATACTAATTTCAGTGCATCTTCATCATTATTCTTCAGATATTCTTCCAAAGCCATTTTTTCTTCTTCAACCATCTGATGTACTTGTAGCATTCCACACCCACCTATTTGCCTTGGTAGATAAAGTCTGTCAATGTCACTGCATGGATGAAGGGCATGATTCATTGTCATTGTTTTTCTGGTTTTCCTATCCATTGCTTTTAGTTCTGCTTGAGTCCAGTCCAGTATGATGATGATGATGATGATGATGATGATGATGATGATGATGATGCAAGGAGTACTAGAGAGAGATTCAAACAATCAATCAGAATAGAGCTGGAAGGGACCTTGGAAGTCTTCTAGTCCAAACCCCTGCTCATGCAGAAGACACTACACCATTTCACTCTGCACATTTTTGCCTTCCCCCCCCCTGAAATTTGGGTTCGTCTTCAGAAAGATCTCTTAACATTCATAACAGTAGACCCATTATGGAAGGTCTCAGGGTGGGTGATGAAGGGGCTGGGTGCCCAGAATATGATCTAGCTGTGCTTCCCATCGCCCTTGTAAGAGCCAAGGTGGTGCAGTGGTTAGAATGTAGCATTGCAGGCTAACTCTGCATGCCCACTGCCATAGGTTTGATCCTGACTGGCTCAAGGTTGATTCAGCCTTTCATCCTTCCGAGGTCATAAAAGGAGGACCCAAATTGTTGGGGGCAATATGCTGATTCCGTAAACAGGTTGTAAAGCACAATGGAGCAGTACATACGTCTAAGTGCTATTATTATTGCTATTGTTTATTCTCCTGAAATAATCCTTGCTTCCACAACATCTATGCACTGCTTTATATGTTGCCTATGAATTCTTTGAGGACTTCTCACCTCATTTTGTTCAGCATCCCATCAACCCCATCCAACCACAACTGCATCAGTCTTCTCTTCCTCGTGACCTATCCACCTTTCCCTCTTATATTTCTTTAGTGATTCTATTCTCATCCATTCTCTCTCTCTAGGACTAACTACAACATGCATTTGTACTGCTCATTCAATTTTGTATTGTGATATGAAGACTTCAGTGTGTGCCCTTGGAAGCCTCCACAGAATAGGTGAAGTCAAGTTCTGTCTTCCATATACGGACCGTGTGATCCTGGTATTATGGCATCTCGTGTAGCCTGGGTGGGGACGTGTGGGAACCAAAATATCATTGAAAACATCAGATATCAAAATGGCCTCACCTCATACCTGTTTTCCCTTTTAATACAGTAGCCAGAGCAGAACATACAACATAGAATAACAGAGTTGGAAGGGACTTTGGAGGTCTTCTACTCCAACCCCCTACTCGAGCTGAAGAGCCTATACAGTTTCAGAGAGGTGGCTGTCCAGTCTCTTCTTAAAGCCTCCAGCAATGGGAAGTCACAATTTCTGAAGGCAAGGCATTCTACTGGTTGATTGTTCTCACAGATAGGAAATTTCTTCTTAATTCCAGGTTGCTTTCCTCCTTGATTAGTTTCCATCCGTTGTTTCTTCTTTGGCCTTCTGGTGATAGTTTGACCCCCCCTCATCTTAGTGGTAACCCCTCAGATATTAGAACTCTGCTATCATGTCCCCCCTCGTCCTTTTCTTCATTAAACTAGACATACCCAATTCCAGCAACTGTTCTTTATATGTTTTAGCCTCCAGTCCCCTAAGCATCTTTGTTGCTCTTCTCTGCCCTCTTTCCAGTGCCTCAACATCTTTTTTACATTGTGGTGACCAAAACTGGATGCAATCTTCCAAGTGTGGTCTTACTAAGGCTTTGCAAAGCAGTACTATCACTCCATGTGATCTTGATTTCCATCCCTCTATTCAATGGTGGGATTCAGCTGGTTCGCAACAGTTCTGCAGAACCGGTAGCTAATTTTTTGTTGCCCAGGGCCAGAATGGACTTCTGCAAGTAGCATCCACACAGAGAACCGGTTGTTCCCATATTTGAATCCCACCACTGCCTCTATTAATGAAGCCTAGGATTGCCTTGGCTTTTTTGGCTGCTGCTGTGCACTGGGTACCTGGGGGGGGGGGCGCTGGCATGGGCCCTCTGGAATTTGGGGAGCCCACTGAATGGGATATTGTAAAAAAGAACCCTTGACACTACTTACGATATACTTGCCTTTTTTTTTTTTTTTTACATAGACCAGTGGAAAAATCAGCTGCTTTATAGAAAAACGAAAGTAGCTTTGGATTGTCTTCAATTTTGCTTCCTAAAAATAGCACAGACTGCAAAACAGTAGGGCTTCTGAAGCTTGGCAGCTTTTCAGAGGGGTTGACTTCAACTCCCTTGCTTCCCAGCCAGTGTGTGTGTGTGTGTGTGTGTGTGTGTGTGTGTGTGTGTGTGCTGATTGTCTTGATCATGGCTGTTGGTGTACTGGTTTTGTAGGTGCATGAAGGCTCTGAGGGGATGTGGATTTTTTAATCCAAGTGTGAAACTGGAAGCAAAGGGAAAAGGAGACTTACAGAATACAGAATAATTGGAAGGGACCTTGGAGGTCACCTAGACCAACCCCCTTGCTCAGACAGGCAACCCTATATCATTTCAAATGTTTGTCCAGAACTGGAGGTTTTCACGCCTGTTAGTAAAACAGCAGCTGTAGACCTAGGAAGGGTGTAGAATCAAATTGGGGCAACTGGGTCTGCTGGTGGCTGGGTGGCTGAAACAAGGCTGGGGTGGGGGGGAGGCCTCTGGAATTTGGGGAACCCACTGAATGGGGTATTGAAAAAGGAACCCTGTGACACTACTTAAGAAATATTTGCTTTTCTACCAGGGGTAGTTCTCAAACTGCCCTTGGAAGCAGAGCAGGAGACGTCAATTTCTACTTCCATACAAGAAGCAGGTGAACCTGGGAGTATGGTAACTGGTGTAAACCTGGGTAGAGACAAGTGGGGACCCCTTTATCCTTGATTCAGCTTCTAAATGGCCTCATCTCATGCTGGTCACCTTGTTTTCCCTTTTCAGTAAGTCGTCAGAGTAGCTGTGAAGGAATCTGTGCCAATATATCAAGAGAATCCAAAGAAAAGACGGCAATTCCTTCTTATGGAAAGAATGGCAACATCATTCTAGGAGCTTCTGGATCCCCTTTGTTTGATCCCTTATTTACCCAGCCTTAGCTGGTCTTGGGACCAGGTCAAGATGAAGTTGAAAGTTTGGGAGGCTGGGCCAGGCCTTTTCATTGACATCTGCAGGCCATCAGATGAATGAGGAAAGTGAAGCCGGAAAAATTGAGGAGGATCGTCCCAACTCTTTTATTAGTGATAATTGTTGCACATGGAACAGGAAAAAAAGCAAATGAAACAACATAGATAAAAATTTAGTTTATAATTTCTCATGGAGACATTTGCAAGCAAAGAGACCTATTTGCCCCTTGGCTGATCAAGCACATACTTCAATCAGAGAATAACCAGCAAGCAAAAAGAAAGTTGTAATAAAGCATTGAAGTATATTAATATTTTTCCTCCACATTTGGATGAAATTATCACCTTCAAAGGGGGCTGGACGGCTTCTTGGACCTTTCACAGGGACTTTGATCACTTAAGAAACTTTTCTCGAATATTCTGGGCATCCTCCACCGCATTGTTGAGAAATTTGTTCAGAAAATAATACATGACGGCAAATGAACTCATTCCACCAAACACAGACCTGATAACAGGTATAAAAGAAAGAGGCAATTCTACAACCGACACAGTTACATGAAGACATGTCCCCAGATATTTCACAAACGTTGGCATAACCAGGAAAGCAGACTTCATCAGGAGAAAAAATACTAGCTGTGCATTGACTCTTTTGACTAAGGGCTTTTTCTTGATCCCTGATCTCAGCTGTTCAAACCCTTTTCCTGTCTGAAGTGACAGAAAATGGAGGGACCCCTGGTCTAAGGCAAACACCCGCCTGAAACATATCAGTGCATCTATCAGAATTCCAATATCACAAATTATAGAGAGACCCACAACAGGCAGTGCTCCACCAAGGCAAGATACTATCGCTAACTTCTTTATATAGGAATTCATGCAAATCTTTTTTTTCATCAAATTATTTTCTGAGAAAACATGCACAGCCAGGGTTAAAAGGTGCTTCTTGTAATCAGGAAGTTCGGTGGCCATTGTCTCTCGCAGGAGAGGGAATTCGTACATGTGTGCATGCGTGTTGGATACCAGAAATACTCTCGTGGAGACCTCAGCTGCCTCCTTCAAGGTATCTTCACAATAATTCCTGATGGTCTCCAGGGTTTGCTCCATGTTGAAATTCCTTTTCCTCCTTTCACCTTCCATACTGATATCGATTTTGCTACGCACAAAGTAAAACTTCTTTCTCCTTCTTTGTATTTCCTTTGCCAGGAAAGCATCATTTTCAGTAAAGCGGTCAGTGACAATCAAAACAAAGACATCATATCTTTCAAACTGGACTTTCTTGAGATATTCAGCTGCGTTAGAATTGCATGTTCTGATCTCCGGTAGCTCCCATATCGTTGTATTGGGAAGAGAAGGGTGGGGATGTGCCTTTGGCACTGTTTTTTCCTCTACTGTACCAACCTCGGCTGCTTCCTCATCATCATCATTTATGCCCCGGAAGGCATTAATGAAGGAGGATTTACCAGCACCCGCCTTTCCAACAACTGCAATATTAAGTGGCAGATTTTGCATTTTATTCAAATATCCTCTGTATTCAGCTGCCGCTTCAGGGATATTGCCTTGATTCAAATGACTCTTTAAATCATCAAATTCTCTCCTTACATCATCTTTTAGAAATATATTGCCCATAGTTGCTTTTTCTTCTGCGCAGGTTATCTGGAAATGAAGAGAGAGATTGTGATTTTCTCAGTTGTGTCATGTCTCCCTTCACAATCCCTATGCCTACGAAAACCACCATAGTCCTTAGTAAGAGACCACTTCACCTTCTGAGGTCATTTTGATCAGCATGTAATTAACTTAAACATATCATAGAGCAGTGTATTTGTGCCCCTTCTGCAGATCACTGGCTTTAGATTGAGGGTTGCCAGTCTGGATAGGGCAAAATGGCAATCTTTTCAGTGTGGTTCCAGGTCAAATTCATGGGGTCAGTTATTATCTTACATGATGGGGCTACGTTAACTATGGAACCATCTTCTTCTCATTCCATCAGCCCATCCCACCCAATAAGGCATGTTGTCGACATGTCAGCTAAAGAATTCTGATTGGTGGGGTCCAGGAAAAGAGTTTTCTCAGGCACTGCGCCCACCTTGTGGAAAACCCCAATCTCATGGCTCTTTGGAAAGGTGTAAAAACAACCTTGGGCCACACAGAGGAGCATGTAGCTGTTGGGTTGGTTGGTGATGACCTTAAAGCCTACCAACCACCTTTTAAATAACTTGAACACTGATTTTAATTCATCCTTGCCTTTTAAATTTTATATGTTGTTTTTATGGTTTGATATTGAACCTTTACACCACCCAAAGCCCCATTCCTCCATTTGCAAAGGAATGAGCAGCTTGAAAAGTAGATAGATAGAAAGAAAGAAAGAAAGAAAGAAAGAAAGAAAGAAAGAAAGAAAGAAAGAAAGAAAGAAAGAAAGGTAGGTAGGTAGGTAGGTAGGTAGGTAGGTAGGTAGGTAGGTAGGTAGGTAGATAGATAGATAGATAGATAGATAGATAGATAGATAGATAGATAGATAGATAGATAGATAGATAGATAGGTGGGATTCAGCCAGTTCGCATCAGTTTGGTAGAATTGGTAGCTAATTTTTTGTTGTCCAGACCCAGAATGGATTTCCCAGACAGACAGACAGACCTTCACCCTCAGGGGCAGGACTCAAATCAATAAAAACCTTCTTGTCCTTCCGGGGTGGCGTAGCCTTGCTGCATCTACTCTCCGGATGTCCTTGAGGCTCGCTAGGCAAACCAGACCAGGGAATCAACTCCACAGAAAGGCCAGAATTATTTTCATTGCGACTGGTTATTCAGTAATAACAGCATTTTGCAAGTCTCAATGTGCTGTTACTCCCCACCCTCCCTTTGAATCAGAGAAAGCGGGATGCCTGCTTGCCATGGCATAGATGTATCCAAATTGTGTTCTGCAACAAAAGAAGTTAGGGAACATTAGCCTGAGGCATGCTCAGCTACCTCCATCTCCCATAGGTTTCCAAAGGATTAGCTAAGACATCTGGAGCAGAAATATACAGTATTAGCCAGCCTGGATGAGATGTAACTGTTGATGAACCTGCCACTTGCCTCTGCTGTATTTGGACAGGAGCGTTGGCAAGCCAGGAGGGAGGACAATGCTGCCCACCCCCATTTCTGAGTACCCAGATGCTTGCAAATCCACCTTCTGCTTGGTTGGGGGATTCCCCTCCACCTGCACTGAGTTCTCAGGCAAGCTGGAGGGTGCCAGGCTGTACTCTCACCCATCTGTTTGCCCCATCCTTCACTGAACCGGGTCAATTTGGGGCTGGGCATGCTCAGTTAGCCAGGCCAAAAAACAGATTTCACTACAATGCTGAGAACTCTACTTGATCTAGTTGCTGAATCTTGAAAGCCTCCTGGGAACTTCCCTCCCTCTCTCCTCTTGCACCCAGGACAGTTAAAGTGGAATCAATTGAAGCTCCTTTTCTCTCCTGCTTCAATAATATTTCCCTCCCCTCCCCTCCCCTGTTCAATCTGTGGCTCCCCTTACAGCCTCTTTGAGAAATGGCTATCTAGTCGTCCCCTATTTTAAGAATCTGCATGAAGTTGAGACATCGGACAGACAATATGGGTCCTTGAGAAAAGTGGTCTGCAGGCCAATGGAGTAAAGAAAAGGATAGAAGTGATTCCTTTTTCAGTGGAAACAGGCTCTGATGAAGACAGGAAAGTAAGGCTGGGGAAACTGACTGGGAGAGGGAACCAACCCTTCCAGGATGACCACAATTCCAATGCTACTATCAAGCATCCCAATCCATTGGCTGTATAAAAAGAATGGCAATTTGTGTGTGTATATCAGGAATCGAAAATTCCTCTATGGCTTCTTGCAATCCAACTTATGTAAAAGGCAGGGAAAACCAGCAGAGGAGAAAAGTCCAAATATTTCCACACATTTGAACAGAGGGAGCACGGTTTAAACAAAATAAGTGTGTCACCCAAAATACAGGCCCTTAACTTACAACACTTCATTTAGTGACCATTCAAACTGACAGTGGCAGTGACATGTGATCGTTTTTCACACTTATGACCATTGCAACCTCCCCGTGATCACATGATCCAAATTCAGATGCTCGGTGACTCATATTTATGACGGTTGCAGCGTCCCAGGGTCACATGATCCCCTTTTGTGACCTTCTGACAAGCAAAGTCAATGGGGAAGCCAGATTCACTTAACAGGTGTGTGACTAAGTTCACAACTGCAGAGATTCTGGCTCAGTTATGGTCATAAGTCAAAAACTCCCTGAAGATGACCTGTATGTAGAACTGAATGCATTATGATGGGTCCTTGATATTCTGAACTTGGCTGTTTCCTGGCAGCAGTGATAATGTTACATAGTTGGATAACAAAATAGGAATCTTTCTTTAAAATGCTTTTTATTTAAGGAAGAGATATATTTCCAAAAACAATTATTGTACTTATGCTATTAATGGTAAGTATAACATTAATGACATATCCCACACAGTCTCTGTTGAGTTGTTTTCCTCGTATTTAAAAATAAAGGATCATGAATTTTGTAATTTCATACAATAATCTCCACTTTGCTAAAATATAACAGAAAAAAGCCAAAGAGAGAAAAGAAGAAAAGAAAAGCATTCCTCAAAAACCAATATGGATAATTATTTAATTTCTAACTTCCCATGGAAATATCTGCAGACAGAGTTACTCACTTCCTCCTAGGGTGAAAAAGCACGTACTTCAATCAGAGAATTACTAAAAGGAGCAAGCAGATAGATAGTTCCAATAAGGCTTTGAAGCATATTATTATTTTCCTCTCCCTGCTTTCATTTTGATGAATTGCTTGACGGTCCCCTTCAAATGGGGTTTGGGGTTGTCTTGAGACTTTCCCTGGGACTCTGATCACTCAAGAAGTTTTGCCCGAACATTTTGGGCGTCTTCCACAGCATCATCAAGAAAGCTGTTCAGGAAATGACAGGTGACAAGGTATGAACTCGCTCCACCAAACAGAGAACCAAGAACAGGTATAACTTCAAGAGCCACTTCTACCACTGACACAGTTACCCAAACAGATGACTTCATCAAGAGAGAAAATACCAGCTCTGCATTTATTGTATTGGCTAACGGGGTTTTCTTGATAGCCGACCTCAACTCTTCAAATTCTTTTCCCGTCTGAAGTGCCAGAAAACGGAGGGACCGGTCGTCTAAGCCAAACACCTGACAGAAACGTCTCAGGACATCTATAAAAATTCCAACATCACAAGCTATAGAGAGACCCGGGAGAGGCACCGCTCCACAAGCACAAGATACCCATGCTACCTTCTTTATATAGGCTTTCATTAGCTCTTTTTTCTTCATCAATTCATTTTCAGAGAAAATATGCACAGCCAGTGTTAAAATTTGTTTCTTGTGGTCAGGAAGTTCAGCGGTCATTGTCTCTTGTAGGAGAGGGAAATCATACATGTGTGCATGATGGTTGGATATCAGAAATACTCTTTCAGAAAGCTCAGCTGCCTCTTTCAAAACACCTTCACAGTGTTTCCTGATGGCTGACAGGGTTTCCATCTCATTGAAATCTCTTTTCCTGCTTTCATTTTTAATACTCTCATCGATATGGGCGCGCACGTAATAAAATTTCTTCCTCATTTTTTGTATTTCCTTTGCCAGCAAAGCATCATTTTCAGTGAAGCGATTGGAGATAATGATAAGGAAGACATCATATCTTTCAAACTGGACCTTCTTCATATATTCCGCTGCCCGAAATTTAGGTGTTCCGATCCCTGGAAGGTCCCATAACTTAATATTGGGAAAAGAAGGATAAGGATACGGCTTTGGCATTTTGGTTCCTTCTACTGCTGCAACCTCGGCTGCGTCATTATCATCATCCATTACTCCTCGGAAGGCATTGATAAAGGAGGATTTACCAACACCCGCATCTCCAGTAACTGCAATATCAAGGGGCAGATTTTGCATTTCATTTAAACATTGTTGGTATTCAGCTGTCACTTTGGGGACACTGCCCTGATTCAAATCGCTCCTTAAGTCTTCAAATTCTCTCCTTAGATAATCCTTTACAACTAGATTGCCCATTGTTGCTCTTTGTTCTGTGCAGATTATCTGGAAGGGAAAAGAAACATTGGGAAACCAGCTATGTCTGGCACTTGGAATTTGGGTTGAAGTTGGAGAAGATCACCAAGAATATTGTGGACAGCCAAGAAAACCAACCAATGGATCATCAAACAAATCAACCCCTCCCTCCGTCCCTCTTGATCCCAAGACAGTTAAGGAGGAATCTGTTTAAGCTTCTTTCTAATCTTCCCTTTCTCTCTGAAAGGATCTGAAGTACTTTCAGACTTGCAAAATTCTGTTAATGTAACCTTACAATAAAGTAGCATAAGCCATCTGATCATGTTTCCTATCTGGTCTAAATCCTAAAGGTCTTAAATCCTTCCAAAGCCCCGGTGATTAGAATGCAGCGTTGCTGCTAACTCTGCATTCCCATTGCCAGCAGTTCAATCCTGACCAGTTTGAGGTTGACTCAGCTTTCCATCCTTCCAAGGTTGGTAAGATGGGGACCCAAATTGTTGGGGTCAATATGCAAATAATGCTTCTACATTGCAAACCTCCAAGAGACTGCTATAAAGCACTATGGTGATATGTAAGCCTAAATGTTATTGCTATTGCTAAAGCTGAAATTCATCTTACAAACTTAGAAGTACTTCACTTTTCAATCCCTATTTTTTTTTAACCAAAAAACTAGAGAGGGTCTCTTCTGTGCCTCTTGATCCATTTACCTTATTACTGCTGGTTAAGTTGCTTTTCATCTGTCTGCTTTTTCTATTGTATGTCAAGGACAAGTTGTAGTTGTATACTATTACTATTACTGGTGCCTTTGATAATTACACCAATATGCCTGGATGAATGTCCAAAGAAGGGTGGATGAAAAACCAGGCACTAAAGTCCAGCCTAAAATCCAGTGTTAAACCTAAAGAAGATATCAACTAACACAGGGGAGAAAAGTCTGATGCTTCTCTGACTGATTCCCCAAAGCCACCCTCAAAAAAAAAAAAAAAAAACTGGGCTCAAAAATGAAGCCTTTCATAATTGCAACCACAATTCTGCCTGGATCAACGTCCAAAGAGGTGAGGTGGAGTGAAAACCAGCCAGGGGAGCAAGAAGCTTTCCAGATGTTCTCCTTACTCAGAACCCTTCCTCTTCAGATCACTCTAAACCTCTGGCCGTTTCTTCTTTCTTTTGATACAAATTCTATTCTCTTCCTTGCTTATCCATAAAGTCACTGGCACAAATGTAATGCAAGCTAATTATTAACTGCACCCAAAAGACCAGTGTAAACCCATCTTTAAATGCAGGGGGGGAAAGTCTGCTGCTTCCCCAGAGCCACCTACAAAAAAGCTTGGGGTCCAGAAACGAGGGGCGAAGGGTGCATGCATTTCCTAAAGCCTGAAGGGTTGTCAGCCATTTGCCTGAAGCCTGAAACCGTTTCAGCCATGGGAAAGAAAATGAAGGTGAAGAATTTCATATCTCTCTGTTTACAAACCTCTAGTTACCAAATCTTGGAAGCCTGATGGTCATTTCAATCCCTCCCTCCCTCCCTCTTGAACCCAAGACAGTTAAGGGAGAATCCTCTCTGAAGTACTATCAGACTTGCAAACCTAAGCAAACCCAGTTATTAAGTATATCAAAGTCCAGCCCAACAATCCAGTGTAGACCCAAAGAAGGCACCACCCAATGCAGGGAAGAGACACTTGTTGTTGCTTCTTTGGCTGATTCCCCAAAGCCACCCACAAAAATTTGGGGTCCAGAAACGAGGGATGATGGGTGCATGGATTTCCTTAACGCTGAAGGGTTTTCAGCCATTCACAGATTCCTAATGCACACAATCTTTAGGAGAAAGGAAATGCTATTGAAGGCTGCTTTATAGGAAGATCAGCAGAAACTGAAAAGAGAACAGAGAATTTGAAAGCAAGGAGTAGAGAATCCACAATAGCTAACCCTAGAGAGGGGAAAAGTTAGACAAATTACTTACTTGCTTTTATAAAAGGAATAATTCTCAAAGGTCTCTCGGCAGGCTGGGGTTGATCTCTTTCAAAAAGAGCCAGACTCCTCCGATCAGACGGACTGCATCTCTCTTATAAACCCCCTAATTTCCTGTTTTTTTGTTTCTTCAAATAATAAAAATGTTCCTCCCATTTTGCCTGCCTATCCAAATCTGAGTTTCCTCAGCATTAAAAGCAGCTGATTTACAGGAAAAAGAAAGTATCTTTGGACTGGCCTCAGTTTCGTTCTTTGCAAGTACAGTGACAGACACTGTGAAAGAAATAGTATAAACTAAGCAATATTCCAGGTGTGTGGACTTTTGCCACCACGGAATAGGTGAAATAATAATAATAATAATAATAATAGTAGTAGTAGTAGTAGTAGTAGTAATAATAATAATAATGGATCATCGCACATTATTATTATTATTAATCATCACACAGTCAGCCAGATGTTCAGACTGGAATTGGCATTTGGTCTACCTATCGAGTCCTTACCCAGGACCTGGGATAGGCAGATGTGGATGTTTGATGGTGTTACAGATATTGTTGAGTCCTTGGCGGGAAGCAGACACGAGAAGCAGTTGAAGTTCTCAGTTTCCTTTATTCAGCGTTCAGCTTACAAGTAGATGTCTTCAGCAGCTCCCAAAACCTCCCAGCTTCTTATATAGACGCTTCCCGGGTAAATGTGATACTTTTCCCGCGCCAGCACCCGCGCATGCGCACGGCGCTGGCGACAGCCTGTCTGGTCCCGGGCAGCTTTGCACCTGCCCGGGACTGCCTGCAAACGCCCGAGCCGTTTGCAAGGCTCGGGACATAACACCCCTTTCCCCCGGGCTAAAACTACTACCAACATATAAACATTTATTTTATGCAGTGTTCTGCTTCTCAGTGCTCCTATCGTTACCTGGCTGTTGTTTAGCCAGCAATGTTATGTAATCCTCTAAGTATTTAGGAGACTTCTTGCTCTCTGTGACCTTCTCAGCTCTGGGTTACTAGCATGAGTTCCCTGACTGGAGGGAGATGTGAGCCTGTTCTCCTTATTTTGCCTTGGTGCCTTCCAAGGACTGTGCCCCAATGCCTGGCCTGCTTGCTTGCCCACCGGGCTCGTCAGGCCAGGGCTTCCGTCACTTTGTGACCTGGTTGACCTGCCTAGCTGTAGACCCTCGGGCCCCTTGAAGTGATAGCCACTGCTGGGCGTCTCTGTTGAACCTCCTAGGTCCGTCCAAGACCTGTCAGGAGGCTGACCATTCCCTGAACCCCGTTCTGTGTCCGGGCTTGTGTGGGGTTCTGTACTTTCCCAAAACTCAGTTACTCCCTGATTTGGGCTAGAGGTGTTGTAGTCGGGACTTGGTTCCTCGACCACCTCCCTGTATGTTTGACCCCCTGTAGGATTTGGGGTAAGGTCAGGCCAACATTGGGGGGATTGTGTGCCAGCTCTCTTGCGGGGAATGATTTGTTGGGATGCCCCCGGGTATCCTCCGTGACTGGAGTGCTGTGTGATGTGTGTGGAAGGTGAGTATGCCCCCGGGGTGACTCCCTGGCTGGAGTAGGCGTGAGTGCCTGTTGTGTGGGTAAGCTCATGAATTCCTTTTCGGAGCAATTGCGGAACCCTGGGATGGGCCGTTTGTGGCTCCATCAGTGGAGATGGGCAGCAGCTCGTGCCCTTCCCTTTGCTCCAAAGGGTCCCCCTCCCCCCCTGGAAAAGACCCAGGAGTCTCATCTGAAAAGTCCCGCCTAGGGCGGAGTTGATCATGTGCCGATGCAGGACACGACCGTTGTCCAGGGCAACCTCGTAGGAGAGAGGACCTGTGACCCTGGAAATAGAAGCGGGGACCCAGGTATGACCAGGCCCGTAATTGCGAGCCCAAACCGGGGCACCCACAAGTAGTTGTCTAGGTGCCCTAGGATGTGAGGTAGATGAAGGCAGTCTGTCCGGATGCAACCGGTCAAGTCTAGTAGTAAGTTGGCGCCCCCAACGAAGTTCAGCTGGACTTCTCCCTGTAGAAGTGGACGGTGTGGTGCGATAAGAAAGGAGAAAGTCAGCCAACCTGTGATGCCAGTCCCCGTAGGTGAGTCTTTCAAGGCGTCCTTTGGTGATGCGCACCATACGTTCAGCCATACCGTTGGTGGACGGGGTGGAAGGGTGCAGACGTGGCATGACGAATCATGTTAGCCTGTAAGAAAGCTTGGAATTCGGAGGAAGTGAATTGAGGGCCGTTGTCAGACACGATGACATCTGGAAGCCCGTGTGCAGCAAAAATCCCCCTCAGTACCTGAATAGTCTTTGCAGTGGTGGTGGAAGAGACAGGTACAACCTCAAGCCATTTTGAATGGCTGTCAACAAGGACCAAGAAAAACTGGCCCTGAAAGGGCCCAGCATAGTCAATGTGCACCTTAGACCATGGGGACTGCGTTTCCTCCCATTTATGCACGGGAGCTTGGGGCATCTCTGGGCGAGATTGTTGGCACAGGTGGCATGCATGCACCTTAGCCTCAATATCCTTATCTAAAACAGGCCACCACAAGTGGCTGCGTGCAAGAGCCTTCATACGAACAATACCAGGATGACCCTCGTGGAGGGATTCTAAGACCCTAGTCCTCATTGAGGAGGGACTGACAACTCTGTTTCCCCAAAGCAGACAACCCTGAGAAAGGGACAACTCGTTTCTTTTGGACCAGAAACTCTGAAACTCAGGACTAGGGCAGTGCTCAGGCCAACCGGACAAAACCCAGGAACGTACACGTGAAAGTGTGTGATCTGTACCTGTTTCAGCGGCAACATCCCTGGCACAAAGAGGGAGCTCGGGCAAGGCTTGGATTGATATAATGTTGACAGCTGGCACAGGGTCAGCTTCTACTACTGGCAGAGGCAATCTACTGAGGCCATCAGCATGGCCCATTTCTTTCCCAGGCTTGTGGAGTAAAGAAAAATCATATGCAGACAGAAAAATAGACCACCTAAGCATTCTAGGGGAAATGATTTGGGGAGTCTGCTTACGTTTGGTAAACAGTCCCAGCAGAGGCTTATGGTCAGTAAAGACCGTGAAATGCCTGCCATAGAGAAAATCGTGGAATTTTTTAATTCCAGCGACAACAGCCAGAGCCTCCCTGTCTATCTGAGTGTAGTTGCGCTCAGCAGAAGACAATGTTCTGGAGTAATATGCAACAGGAACCTGAGTTCCATCAGACCTGAGGTGGCTCAGGACAGCTCCTACCCCGTAAGGGGACGCATCACATGCGATGCACACAGGAAGAGATTCGTTGAAATGTGCAAGTACACTGTTAGAAGTGAGCAAGGCATTGACTTTGTTAAAGCAAGCCTCATGTGTATGTGACCACTGCCACACTGCTTGTTTGTCTAGTAGCCTGTGAAGAGGCTCAGCTACACTAGCTTTATGTGGAAGAAAAGAATTGTAGAAATTCAGGAGGCCCAGGACGGCCTGAAGTTCGGCCTTGGACTTTGGCCTAGGTGCTTCTAAAATAGCTGTCAGTTTGGATTCAGCAGGGTGAATCCCAGCAGCATCAATTTTGAACCCCAGAAATTCAGTAGAAGGCACCCCAATCTTGCATTTGTCTTTTTTTGAGCTTGAGGCCTGACTTCCTGAATCTTAACAGAACAGCCCTTAGCCTTTCAGCTAGAATGTGTGTGGAGTCTCCTGCAATTAAGACATCATCAAAGTAGGGGCAAACCCCTGGTATACCCCGTAGTGTGTTTTCCATTACGCTTTGGAAAATTCCAGGAGCGACATTCACTCCAAACTGCAGCCTTTTTACCTTAAAGGCTCCCCTGTGGGTCACAATAGTCTGGGCTATAGCAGCATCATCATCAACAGGCAGCTGTTGATACGCTTGAGCTAGGTCAAGCTTTGCAAAAACGCGCCCCCCCCTTGAGGGAGGCCAGAATATGACTGACCACAGGAACAGGATAGGCATGTTGCTGCAATGCCTTATTCAGAGTGCATTTGTAGACAGCACAAATGCGAATGTCCCCATTTGCCTTTAGAGGCGTGACAATGTGGGTCTCCCAAGGACTGGAATCAACAGGTTCTAGGATTCCCTGTTGAATCAGTTTGTCTAACTCAGTGTCAATTTTACTCTTTAAAGCAAAAGGGACCCTTCTTGCTTTAAATCTAATGGGAGTGACAGTGGGGTCTAGCTTTAAGGACACAGGGGGTCCTTTGAATGTGCCCAGCTGGGGGCTGAAAACATCTGCAAATTCTTTGCAGACTTCCTGTAGGTCGAGTGTTTGTAAGCTGTTGAGTCCTGTGACGTGTATCCCCAGGGCCTCAAACCCATCGAGTCCTATGAGACTCGTTCGTTCACCCCCTACTACTAATAAGTCTAGTGGACCTTCAAAACTCTTGTATGGCACGTTAAGGGTGGCCTCCCCCTTAACACACACTCTTGAATTTTGAAAATCTGTTAACACAATGTCAGAAGGCCTTAACTTGGCCTGAGTTCCACTACCGGAACAAATCTTCCTAAATGTATGCAAGGAGATAATTGAAAAGGCAGACCCTGTGTCTAGTTCCATAGATAATGGAACCCTTTGTAGCTTCACCTTGAGTGACAGCTTTTTCTTAATTGGCTTGTGTGTGCCTGTCCTAAGGATGCTTCTTCGCGAAGCGCAAAACCCTACCCTATTCTGGCTGGGGAATCTGGTACCTTTCAGGCGCAGTTCTTCCTGAGGTTGTACCTTTCGTTGGCCCAGACACACAGTTGCAATGTGTCCTTGTTTGCCGCATGCCCGGCAGGTAGCGGAGCGGAACTTTCAGTCGGTTCTCCTGTGGCGACCTCCACAGCCGATGCACTTGAGCGGAGCTGAAGAGCTTCCCTTCTGTTTTTCTTCCTTTGTGGGGTGGAGACGGTCGACTTCCTCGTCCGGATCCTCCTCGGAGTTCCTTTGGGTGTCTTCCTGGTGCACGGATGCAACCTCTGGACTGTTTCTGATCGGCCGCATGTTCTTGATAGCGCCGCCTGCTGCTTCTTCTGCGGTGACTTCCCTTAAGGCATCTTGGTAGGACAGTTCTTCTTTAGCGAAAAGTCTCTGTTGTAGATCTCGATGCCTTAACCCGCACACGAATCGGTCCCTCAGTCGTTCTTCGGGTCTTTGAACTCGCAGTGCCTGGCGGCCTTCCGTAATGCGGCGATGAATTCTTTGGCCGACTCGCCGGGCCGTTGATCCCTCTGCTCGAAGGTGTGGCGCCATGCGATGACGGACATCTTGGGGTGGAAGTGCTCTTT